AAAAAAAAAGAGAAAAAAAAAGAGAAAAAAAAAGAGAAAAAAAAAGAGAAAAAAAAAGAGAAAAAAAAAAGAGAAAAAAAAAACATACGCATTGGTGGTGGTCATGGTGGTCGTATGAATAGCAGCAAAGCTCACACCCAACTGATAATTCGCGAGGTCCTCGTCATTCTTCTCGCCAAACTTCTTCTGCGAGTCCATGATCCACTGCAGCATGTCGTCCGGCTTCACATAGTCCGGCGAAGCCTGGGCCTCGGCATTCCTGCGCGCGGCGACGATGGGCCGCAGGAACTCATCGGCCTGCTGCATGCGGGCATGCACCTTCTTGACCGGCTCGCACCTCGGGGCGAGAAACGGGCGAGACCACACGGGCATCCGGGACACGACTTCCACGGCCGCAACCAGGTCGACGGTGTAGTTGATGGCGGCGTCGAGGTACCTCTCGTCCCGGCAGAGCTCGGAACCGATGAAGACGCGACCGGACGCCATGGCTACGATGCGGAGGAGTTTGTAGTTGATGTTGACTTCAGTCCAGTCGGAGGTCTGGGGCAGTTCCTGGCGCATGGCTTCGACTACTTCGTCGGCTACAGAGGCGTTTAGGCGTGCTGGGGGTCGTTGATCGCGGTGGTGAGGCAGCATGTTAGCAGGCAGAAGAATGGCTTTCAGTTTGAGATCGTAGCTGGGAGATTCAGGATATTATTTCTTACGCAAAGCAGGGGTGAGCGAGGCCTTGACGGTGTGAGCCAACGCTGGCACCTCGGTCTGCAGCCTGGTGTATTTTGCTTGCATAGTCTGTTCGTGTCGGTGATCGTGTCAGCGACGAATACATGTGTGTCGTTGATACATGTATTATTATCAGAGTGCCCCTCTCAGAACAGAAAATGATAGACGGTGGACCCGACATTACCTCAGAAACCGCTTTATCAAAGCTGAGAACATCGTCGGGCAGGTTCCTCAGCTCGTTGACAAACTTGGTTGAGATGACAATACTCTCGGTACCTACACCCGATGTTATGAGTACACGTGCTGACACTCATGCGTCAAAGGAAAAGCAACACTTACTCCTTGGTGTTGCGATTCGGAAGAGGCCATCTCGGAACTATACAACGTACATGCACGGGCGGTTAGCTGGAGGATGGAGCCTATGCTTCAACTTCAACCATCAAATAGTCGAGACCAACCTTTTTGTAACCTTCAGAATAGAGAGCGTTTGCCTGGCCCGAAACGAACTGTTTTCTCCGACTGGCCTTGTTCCCTTCTCCGACAACAGGCACTGTAGCCAGAGGGTCGGGCCGGAACAGCCACTGCAGCACGAGGGCGACGGCAACGGCCGAGATGCTAGCAGCTACCGCAGGCCAGTGCGCCATTACGTCTTCCATGGTGTCCATCTTTGCAGCGAGATAGTCCATAGTGGGCTGTGGTCGTCCTGGTAGTCCCAGACGGAGGAGGGGCCGGGGGTGGAAGAAAAAAACGAACGGTTCGATCTACCAACTCTATACTTTTATACAGCCCAGACTCTCATACTTGAGAAGCACACACAAATGAAATAGAACGAAATAAAACAAAACGAAACCGAACACGATGAAACATCCTACGTACAATAAAATACCTTGGTTCCGTTGCCCACTCCATGCCCAGGTTGTGGTCGCGGGAATCTACTTCTGACGGCCCGTCTAGGAAAGACGGGGATGGAGGCGTACATAGTTCCAGACGAACCAGTCGGCTAAGGCCCAAGACCCGGTATGTCATTCCACTAATGTCAAGTGCCGAGCCTAGTGCAGACCTGTGCTGTGTGCAGTTGTGGGTGTTACATTGTGTCGACGGGGGGGCCGTCGCCGCCGGACTCCTCCTATTGTCCGAGATCCTCGCTGCGTCTACGATGTAATTGATCTCTGGCCGTTTCTTCTCGCTTTCGCTTTCGCTTTCGTCTTCGTCTTCGTATTTTTCTCGGGAATCTTATCATGTGCGTTTGCTTTCTATATCTGGGACCTTATGGCACCAAGTCCTTGGCAAGTGGACACTGTCGCCGTAACAGCACAGGAGTTATTTGGTCCATGGTCACAATTTTGTGACTATCCAGAACTTCGACGTGCGTCTTTGTCTAGCTGTCCATCCAGTCGACAGGTTCTTCTTCAACGGAGATCTTCCATGGCCTTGTCACCATGATAGAAATCCTCGAACTGCCCGAGGGTTATCTCAACTCCCTCCGGATGAGAGCATACGAAGCGAAGCACGACATGACCAGGCCTATTGTTACGCCAACGGTCAGTCAAGACAGCACATGCTCCACACATGCAGCATCCACTAGGACTTGAGGAAACAGAGGCCAGAGCCAGAAAGAGATCGTTTGGCTTTGTTCCGGCGGGGTCAACTTCTTTCTTCCCCCGCCCCCTTTTTTTTCTTTTTTTTTTCTTCCTCTTCTTGCGCTCCCACGAAAAACCGCATTACCACACAGCGAGTCCATCCCCTAGGCTAGAAAATATATTTGTTTCTATGAATTCTTGGTCCTTGTACAGAGAACCCCCGCAAACTCGTGAGAGTCTTTGCTATTAGATGTACGCTGTATGCGTTTCAAAACAAAATTGTTGCCACCCTCATATCAGGAAGCCTCCCCATGACAAACAAACAAACAAAAAAAAAAAAAAAA